TTTAAAAATATGAAAAACAGGAGTGGAGAGATGTCATCACCCCCTTCTTCTCCCTCCCTCTCCATTAATGAAGAAAAACAAACGGAGCAAGGAAGACATCAACCCTCACTCTCCCCCGCTCCCCCTCCAATTCCATCAATCCTAAAAGGGGCTTAGGGTTTGCGTGTGAGTCTCTCTCCAGTTGGGTTGTTTAGTTGCTGTTGACTGCTACCTTGTGTATGAGTCTTTTTCCAAATCGGAGGGATTGAAAGTAGAGGAGAGGAGACGAAGGAGCTCCATCTCCTTTTATTTTTCTCTCCTTCATTAAAATTATTTATTCAAACAATTAAAGTGCTTTCTTCCTTTCACTCTCCTCTCCTTCCCCTCCAACTAACCCCAGTCCAAAGGGAGTATAAAAGAAATTGTACAGTTTAATTCTGCATACTGTATATAATTTTTCTGAAACATAGAACACACCCTACTTCCTTTCCACGCAATTCTATAGATATTCTACGAGTCAGGGTTTTAGAATCGAGCCTCTCTGTCATCACTGTAAAAGTTCCCCAACAATGAATCCGACGGAAGATCTTCTCTCGATCTATTTTCCAGATTGCATCGACACTGACGCAGACGCAGACGCAGATGCCGGCTTCGACGCTGAAAATGACCATAGCGATGAGTTTTTGTCCAATATTGAAAAGAATGTGATCGTTGATATTCGATCTTTGTGGCTAGAGACGGTAATCCAACGGCGATCTCATTCAATCGTATTTCAGGCCAGGTGTGTGTTTATGTGTGTGTGTGTGTGTGTGTTTTTTTTTTTTTTTGGTTTTCTTGAATCTCTACGTTTTCTTGAAGTTGTGATGTTCAATTTCTTCGGGTTTCTAACGTGTATTGCGTAAAAATCGGTGAAGATGATCTTATAGGTTTGAAGCTACCGCAGATATTCAATATCTTTTCTGTTTCGTCCTAGTTTGGTATGTGTTTTATCACTTTTGATATTAATCTGTTGAACTTGTAACTAGTCTGTGTGTCTTTTAGAGCTTAATATTATCCTGAATTTGTCAAGATTCTCTTATTTTTAGATTTAGGTGAAGATTTGTAAAAGCACTATACTGGGAAAGTCTTTTAGCTTCTATGCCATGTATTTGCATACATTTAGCATTAGTTCGATGGCATCATTTTTGCTTGCATGCAATTCTGACTCTTTTTAAAATGCGCCTTGTACAAAGTTCTGTTTTCAGTAGTTTTCTTTTCTTAAATTTATGATATGCCGAAGAAATGAAACGAACTTTAAGCAGCTGCTTATGACATTCTTCAATTAAATGCTTGAATAGAAATCACCATGGAAAAGTCTGTTGGGATGGATGACTAGGGAACATTGTAAAAGCAACAGACCCTGGAGATCTTTTATCTTCTCTCCACAATCTTGTAGATTAAGCTTTGCTAGTCTACAATGGATCCTGTAGATTAAGCTGGGGGTTTTCATTTTTTGTTCTTTTTTCGTTTTTGAATTTTTCTTGCATTGACTCTGGTTGAATTGCTTAAACATTTTGATGGGATTTATTCATGTTAATTATTTGTAATTTATGATATTTTATGAAGATATGAGGTCTGACCTTTGTTAACTTAGGAAGTTTACCCCTATTATTAACATGAAGCAGCCAACCCCTCTTGGTTGATTAGTTTCATCCAGTGTTTTGAAAATCGACTTGGAGGTCAAACTGTTTTGACTTTCGATTCTCGATTCAACTGATTTAATTAGTTAAATTGTTCAAACCGTCAAATTAATTGAACATGAATAAATATAACATTATATTAAAATCGAA